TGTATTTATTGGCTATTTGTACTTCTGTGAAGTGTCTATTCATTTCATTTCCCCATTTTTGATGGGTCTTTTGGGGGGGGTCTGATTTTTTTTAGTTCTTTCACCTGCATTCTGTTATTAAGCAGCTAACAGAACAAGAAGAGGTACTATGCTATTTCCAAGGAAACAAAAAGCTGAGTCAGGCAGAGTTGGTGGTGTTCCAAAGTATGCTCAGAAAGAAGCCATCTCAGTGTTCCTGCTAGAAAGGACAGTCTCAGAAAGTATAACAATGGGGTGGGTTTTTTGTTTTGTTCTGTTATTCATTTTTGAGACAGGGTCTCACTATGTAATTCAGATTGCCCTTAAACTCACTGTGTAGCACAGGCTGTTCTTGAACTCACACCCATCCTCCTGCCTCAGCCTCCAAGTGCTGAGATTATAGGTGTGCACCACCATGTCTGGCAAAAAACAAAATAACAAAACAAAAAACAAAAAATATTCTGCAGCAAAATAATATGCTCTGACCACCGCATAACATACTTCACTACTCACCAGATATATCATTCCCATTAAAAATCCTGCCTCTTCAGGATTAGGTGATATTAAACAGTAATTTTTTCTCCTCTCCTCCTGGGGTCAGCTACTTGAGGCAAAGGACTGCAGAGACCTGCAAAGCCTAGATCTCTTTCCTACTAATACTGGGACTATGTATAAGATCACTGAGAGGAAACTCCTATCTATAAGATACAAAGTCCACTCAGCTGTTCAGCCTTTTCAGTTATTCTTCACAAGATGCCCTAAAGATAGCTATTAAATGTCCCTGTTTTAGGACAGGAGTACTGGGATTCACAGGAGTTAGGGGACCTACTCAAGGATTTGCCAGCAGAAGTGGCAAAACTAGGACTGAACTGAAAAGTCTGATACTCCATGGTTCATGTTCTATTATGTGACTCACTCTATCCCCCACCCCTAAAGTTTAGGAAAATCTAGGAAACAGAATGCACTGTGCTAATATAACACCTAAAGACTTTTCTAACTCAGCCTTCCCATGTGAGTTTATATCCTCTGTCAGAGATTCTTGGGCACACAGGACCATAACACCTGCTTTATTTGACTGTTAAGTATACCCTTCTGGTCAGTCCCAATCCAACACAATTTCAAGGTTTAATGCATTTCAAGGTTCTGTGGAAAATAATGATGCCTGGCCCTTCTTGGAAAAGGGTAGGTAGGGAAAAGAGAACAGGCATTAGATAAATAGACAGACAGATAGACAGATAGATAGACAGACAGACAGATAGATAGATAAATTTTTTGTACCAGGGATCGAACTCAGTACCTTGAACTTGAGAGGCAGATGTGGTGCCACTGAGCTAAATCCCCAGCCTGAGAACAGGATTATCTAACCCAATTCTACAATATGAATTATTGGCTGCAGTAGACTTCCACCCTTTGATCTTCCTGGAACTCCACCCAGACTACATGACTAAGACAAGTTTTTCAAGAAAGCTTTCCTGGCATTTCCCTCTCTAATCTTTCTGCCTTTTCACCCCATGAACCCAGCTGAACAGGGTTCCTCCCTTTATCTTCATAATACTTTGTAGACTCTAGAATGGTCTTTTTGTTATGTGTCATCACAGTTTAATTAATCACGGTTTGGAGCAGGTTAAAGGTCCTTCTTAAAGATTCATGAAATTCACTTTTTAAAAGCGTTGCCTAGGCACAAGGCAGTGGGGGGCAAATGTAGAAAGGTAGACAGGGTGCTAAAACAATTCACGGGGGCGGGAAAGAACAGACTTTTCAACCAGTGGCTGGAACACTGTATAATTCTACTTACATGAAATGTCTGAAATAGGAAAGTCTATATAGATTTATTGATTGACAAAGCTGGAGGGCTGGAAGGAAGTGGAAAATCACTTATAATAGGTATAGGACTTCTTTTACGATTGACAAAATGTCCCAAAATTGCGTTGTAATTTATCAAAAATTAGATATAGAGTAGTAATGATTGCACACTGGTGAATACACCAGAAGTCACTGAATGGTACACTTTTTTACTTAAAAATAACTTTATTATCAAACACACAATGCAAGGGGAAAAAAACTACAATAATATTCAAATACAGTAGAACTCAACCAAAACAAAACTGAAAAGCACTTAAACATTTTTCCATATACCTTAAAAAAGCATCTCAAGTACCAACAAGCCACCAGAGGATGTGATTTGTTTCAGAAAGATCCCCAAAACCAACAATGAAAAAATAATTGTCTGGAAAAATACTCGTTAGCTAGCAGACTCCACATAAGCCAAGCTTCTCCCTAATTTAAATTTCGATACAGTCATATGACACACCATGGAAACACAATCCGAGGACTGTTATTGGGCAATTTCATCCGTGTGGATCCTTAATTGCACTCTCACAGTTTCTCACACCAGAGAAACTATTCGGTATTTACACATGTGTGTCCTATTTATTTCACTTAAGAGAATGGCCTCAATATGCATCCATTTAGCTATAAATGTCTCTAGTTTCTTCTCATTCTTTATGGCTGAGTAGTACTCCATTTTATAAAAAAAACACATTTTCTTTATCCAGTTTCCAGGTGATGGGCACTTGGGCTGTTTCCAAGCTTTAGCTATTACAAACTGTGCCGCTATAAACATGGGTGCACATATATCACTGTGGTATGACTCTTAATTCTTTTGGGAAGATATCCAGCAGTGGGATAGCTGGGTCGAATGGGACCTCTAGTCCTAGTTCTTTGAGGTATCTCCATACTGATTTCCACAGTGGTTGCACCAGTCTGCACTCCCACCAACAATGGAGAAGGGTTCCTTTCTCTCCACACCCCCGCCAGCATTTGCTTATTGGTTGATTTCTTAATAGCAGCCATTGTTTCTGGGGTGAGGTAAATTTAATATTTAAATTTTAATATTTTCTTTAAATAAATAGTTTACTTCAATTATTTTTAAGATAGATTTCTTGGGGGCTTAGCCTCTTTGGTTATCCAAATTATTAGAAATCTAAACTTTTATTATTCTATTGGAATTAAATTGTTTCCTGGTTTCTCCTTGTACTAAAACTGACCCATCCTATATCTATCTGTAGTTATCATGTTTCATAATGTAGCTAATCTAACGAACTAATCCGTTAATTTTTGAGTGGAAAAAATCTACCTCCTCTGTCTCTTTCCTCCATCAAATCAAGGTACTCATGCTTCCATGCAGTACAGTATATGTAAATTTAAAAGACTTTTCTACAGACATGCTGCAGGCCTTATTATCCACGGATGTGAATTTTAGACAAGGTGGTCTCAACTATGCCGTGGTGTACAAAGACTCAATCTTTACCTACAGCTTTTCAGAAAAATGAGGAAAGGCAAGGAAGAGAAGCCAGGTGGTCCTTGTGTAGCTTTCATATACACTTGCAAAGCTGGTTTTTCTGCACCTTTGGCTGGGAAAACAGGGGAATGCAACAGGCTTGATCCACCTTAAACATTAAAAACAGAGATATTTTTACATTGATTAAAAGAGGGTTTCAAAAGAGTGAGAAGAGGGCCTTCCTGTTACGGCAGCATGAAGAGGTAGACAATTTCTTTCTCCCAAAAAAGAAAAAATGGATAAAATTAGACAAAACTGTCAAAACCAACCATTTCATGGGTTTGGAAATTGACCAAATACAAACAAAAAATTGAAAAGCAGTTATTCTTGAAATAACTGGTAGATCTTCCTCTAGGAATAGCAAGAGATTATGGCACTTTTGCCCTAGGGCTATTTTCATTGCTCCCCTAGCTCAGTCTGAGACTTTTAAGTAAGACGAGGCTGGCTATGAAAACCAGTGCCTTTACTGCCACATAAAAGACTGGATTCAGAGGGTCGGGGATTTAGCTCAGTGGTTCTGTCACCTGCCTCACAAGCACAAGGGCCCAAGTTTGATACCTAGTACTAAAAAAAAAGACTGGATTCAGAGTGACAGCTGAAGGGTTGAAAATCCTCATGTTTGCTGGTTAACATAGGAATGACCACAGTGTTCAAATAAGCAGGGAAAACCAATAGCTTTCCCAGCCTAAGGTTGTAGCCCTACTTGGGGCAAGCATCAGACTAATGGGGAACTTAACAGGGAGATCCTGGAAATAAAGATATAAGAGTTGAAATAACTTCTCCAGACATCCCCAGCTATATGTATATCTCCCATTGTAAGGCTAGGATCATTTTACACATATTCATTCTTTAAAATATGAAATCGTTTAGAGTAAATAATTGCAAGACTGTTGGTTTATAACCTACAGCAGTGTGGATGAACCTATGGCACATATGCCACAGCAGGCATGCAGAGCCCTTTCTGTCAGTTAATTTAGATCTGGACATCCCTAATGGGCCTGATATTGAAGTCTCAGTTGCTTGCCTGTGTTGCTCTTGAGAGGCAGTGTGATCTTCTCGAAATGGGGCCTAGTGGGAGGAAGGTCATTGGGTGTGTACCCTTGAAGGGGATATTGGGACTTTGGCTTCCTCCTCTCTGCTTCCCAGCCACCAGCTTTGTTGAGCTAAGCAGCTTTGTTCTCCATGATAATAAACTCCATGATAATAAACTTCATGATAATAAACTTCAAAAAAATGCATTCACCTTATTTGTCTAAACTAGCAGCTGTGCAGACCACAGGCACTTTATGTTCTTAGGCGTCCTTTCTAGATTTGTTTTAGTCTGTCTTCTACTTCTGTAACAGACTACAATGGACTAGTTAATTTATATATAATCTTAAAGTGATTTTTTTTTGGTACTGGGGATCGAACTCTGGACCTTGTGCTTGTGAGGCAGGCGGCAGAACCACTGAGCTAATTCCCTGGCTGGTTAATTTATGAACAGCAGAAATTTCTCACAGTTCTAGAAGTAGGAAGTCTAAGATCAGACAGAACCTGCACTCCCTGTGGTGTTCACCCCTCAGCAATTCCATGACTGTGGATTCCATGCCCTGCCTGCAGCCACCCACCAACTCCAAGCCCACTCTGTGTTATTTCCCCTCAGCACAAGGCAGCAGGGGCGCAACCAACCAAGGGACCTGACTGTGGACAAGGCCAAGACCCCAGCAAAGAAGGTAAGCCCCAGAGAGTCTGCAGCTCCAGGGAGGAACAACAGGCTGGCTAGCAGCACTAGCCCCAGGAAAAGCTCACAGCTATTGTGAACTACAGAAACACCCCGAGGTTTCACTCTGAGTGACTCCATGACAGGACTGAGCTGGAGAAGAAACCCAGTGCAGCACCCACCAGATTAGGAGAAAGTGTTTACATCAAGTGCCATTGTGGGAAGGGGATGTTAAGACTGAGCCGGAGAACAACTACAGAGCAATCCCACTTCAGGGTTTCTAGTGTTAACCTCCCATTGTAAATGGGTGAGAAACTGACAGGACACAGCTATGGAGAGGGTGCGGGTTAGACAGACCTCCTGAGAAGTTTAAGCTTGGGCCAAGAAGGACTTGGGCCCTGGACTCCATGGTGAGAACTCAGGCCTGCTAAGTATGGCTATCGGAGATGGCTGGACCTGAAAGTAGTGGCATTCAGTCCAGCAGACTGCTTGAACCCCCAGCCCTCTGCCTACGTCCAGCAGAGACCAGTGGTCTAATTGCTTTCGCCATCTACCAATGTGAGCAGCACACCTCAACTTGACCAGAATGTATGAGCACAGGGGCCCCTGGAGCATGGCATGGGTGCAGGGTGGGGTGCATCTCACAAACCCACAGGCCATAAAGGTAGATGGAGAAAATTGTGACTTGCTGAATTCAAGACTGCAGAACCTAGAAAGAAACTCATTCCAAAAGAGGAAATTTTTTTCTTTTTTCTTTCATTGGTTTTTTACAGTTTGGGTTTTTTTTTTTTTTCTTTGGTGCCGGGGATCAAACTCTGGTCCTTGCGCTTACACAGCAGGCGGTGAAACCACTGAGCTAAATCCCGGGCCCCTGTTTGCGTTTTTTCTCTTCTTTTCTTTTTCTTTGTTTTCTCCTTTTAATTCTTTTTCTTATTATTTTTTCCTTTGTTTTGCTCGTTTGTTCCTTTCTGTTTTTACCTAATACTATTAATTTCCTCTATAGGATCCTTTACCTCAATGTCCTCTCCTCAACTTCCACTGATTTTTCAAATTCTACTCTTCTCATTCTCCAGTTCCTCACCTTCTTTATCCATACTTGTATAACCATTGAGCTTTCTGAATCTTTAGATAGTTAACTGTGCTATTACCATTGAATGCTGTTCTGTTAATAGAGGTACAATTGCTGAATTTAGTAAATATTTACTCTAAACTAAGTTTGTCTTAGTGTTTATACTAAAAAAATAGATGTCTTTGCTATGGCTAAGGGTGGTACAATACTGATTCCTAGGGTATGTCCATCCAGTTTGTCACTGATGCTACTATTACTACTGCTGATTTTATTGCTACTGCCAAGGTAGCATAGCTGTTGCTCTTGTATGCCAATCTCCGGATTCTCTTTGTGTCACTAACAGTACCACAGCCCATTCCCAGAGAACTGGATACTAAGCCAAATACACAGCAACCTTCTCTCCCAAATAAACAAAAGTGGTTGGATCTTGGGATAGAAACAAATGTAGCCATGCAGATAGTAGAGTGCAGATAGTAACTAAAGAGGTCTTGCTACTAGTAACAAAGTCTTCCACTATAATCAACCCACAAACCTCAACACAAAACAAAATCACAGAAACATGAAAAGACAAAGCAACAAAATGCCTCTAAAAACTCCAAATTCCTGCAAAGTTGATCCATGGAGAATCAAGGGGGAGAAAATCAAAAGCCACACAGCCAAATTATTTGAAAGGATAACAGGAGATAGGAGATAGCTATCAAAGCTAGATTTCTTGGGGGCTTAGCCTCTTTGGTTATCCAAATTATTAGAAGTCTAAACTTGTATTGTTCTATTGAAATTAAGTTGTTTCCTGGTTTCTCCTTGTACTAAAACTGACCCATCCTATATCTATCTGTAGCTTTGATATCTATAGCTTTGATGGAGAGTGAGTGGGAGAGAGTGAAAAGAACAGAAGGAGAAGGAAGGGGGGGAGGGGAGAGAACAGGGAAAGGGGACGTTACCAGAACCTCTGCAGTAAGTCCTAGTCTCCTGCGAGCCACCGCAGCACACGGCGAATTACTGGAAAGGTAGAAAAATGAGACTGAGAAGAAGCTGAGCTTTAGGTCTGATTAGTGCTGCTCTGGGCAGCAAAGACGAAAACCCCCAGCTTACCACACCTTTTATTCAGTACATCGGGAGAAACAAATGTAACAAATGACTTGCAGAGAGTTCAGTACATCCGCGTAAACAAGATGGTAACAGTATAAGAACAATGAGGAAGTGAGTAGATGTTTGTTC